ACGGCCAGCAGTTGGATACACATGTCGACTCGGAGGACGCGTAGAGTTTTGAACCAGGCGCGAGAACACGGTATCACATTTTCTGAAAAGAAGTTCAAGTTTGCAGAAAGTGAAGTACACTTTTGCGGGTACATGGTAGGCCAAACGGATTGGCGTATGGATGATGAGAAAATGAAAGCAATCAGGGAGTTTCACACACCGAAGAATCGCAACGATCTGAGGTCTTTCTTGGGACTTGCCAAGAAATTCACTGAATTCACACCTTCATTAGCCACACATTTACAGCCGTTGAGAGATTTGCTGAAGAATTCCACAGAGTTCATGGTTGTCTGGGCAAGAGCAAGCAATGCTTACTATGAAAAACACCCTCCTCGATTCCCCCACGTTGGCGTACTTTCGGTTCGACTGTCCATTGTGCCTTGAGACAGACGCGTTGAAGACAAGCGGCTTGGGATTTGCACTGTTGCAGTTCCAAGACGGCGCATGGCGATTGATTCAATGCGGAAGTAAATATATTTCGGAAACGGAAGCACGTTACGCAATGAAAGAACTTCAGTGCTTAGCAATAGTATGGGCAGCACGAAATTGTAGCGGATTTCTGGCTGGCATCGAATTAACGATCATCATAGATAATAGGCAATTAGACCAATGCTGAATCTATACACAATGGATAAAATCGAAAAAAACCGATTGCTACGTTTGATTATGAAAATACAGGCATTTCAATTCAATGCAGAATGGAGAAAAGGCAAGGATCACTTTCCCGCTGATGCCTTGTCCCGAGCCCCTGTGGATCAACCAACAGGGGGGGGGGGGGGGGGGGACCATCTGCCCAATGGTGGACTAAACAGAGCTCACGGAGGATGACGCCGACCATGAAGACAGCGCTTTAAGCATTGGCAGAGTGTGCGCAGTTGAGGGACAGCAAGAGCTGGACATGCAGACGGCAACGCTCAGGGAGGCAGCGGACAGCGACCTGGAATACCAGGTGTTGCTGGCAACGATCTAGAATGGATTTCGACAGCAGACAGCCTACAGCTGCACAAAGCCATATCGGAATGTACGAGAACATTTAACAGTCGAACACAACACTCAGTACATGACGCAGGAACTCCCAATGTCCTTGGTCAATCTCAAGCAAAATCGGTGCCGAGTTCCAGATGTCGTACAAGTGCTTGTTGCTGAATGTGTTTGGGAACTTTTGAAAAGGGGAAGTATACCCTAACATCAATTGATCACCACTTGTAGTCTTTGGGGTGCTGAGTCGAATGGTCTTACAGGCTACAGCTTTTACAGCGTTCCTGTCACACGAGTTGAACCGCTGAACCTTTGAGTTAAATCTTGGTTTGAAAGCTGTAGCCTGTAGGCACGGTGACCAGGTGGCTGGTGTACGCACGAGCACGTGGCCGCTCACTCAACCGGGGTGCAAAAAACTACAACATACGGGCCAATCTTGATCATCCGTGCTTTTATAAGAACAAAATGCCGCTTTTAGTGACATTTTGCATACAAATCCCAATCTTGTAGGGGGGGGGGGGGGCACAGTCACCCTGTTTTGGTGGAAGTGGTGAATTCGATTTGGAATAAAGGAGGAAGGGAGCTTCTCCGCTTTCTCGGACCAAGAACATCCGACTCAGCACCCCGAAGACTACAACTGGTGAAACTTTGATTTTAGGGTATACTTCCCCTTTAACGCTAGCCATTGCTCTCAGATGCCTTCAATGAAAGGTGTCGATCCCTCTGATGATAGCATCTGTGAGGCCCCATGTCACACAATGGTAGAGCAGCACTGTCTTCACATACAAACTGTACAGCACAACTCTAAGCAGGAATGAGGTAAATTGATGCTGGGAGAGTGCGTACAACGAACAGAATGCCTGGGTTGCTAGGGCCTTTCTGTCTTGGACATCTTGCGCTGGGCCTAGCCGTGATCCAAGTGACTTCGCATTTCTCCATGCTAGGAAATACGCTCCTCCGGATCATCAGCCAGGTAGGTTTAGTGGTAGGATATCATTTATGTTCGAAGTAAGTGAAATGTATTGACCACACAAACTGAGTAAAGGAGAAATCTATGTGATACTGGATGCAATTGAAATGATGAGCTTTTTTGTTTTACAAATGACGAGGGTTGAGTTGGGTGTTGCCTCATTTTGTCCACAATCTCACCTATTTGCTCTTCTCCAGAAAACTTGACCAGGGATACTAAGGCATAACCGGCCAGGTCTCTTTCTCACTTCTTTTTGGTTCGTCCTTGTCATTGGATGCTTCTATATTTAAGATTCTTTATCCTCTCTTAAAAATAAAAGGGGGTTTGTCAACTGGAAACTGCTCTATTTAGTTGCTATTCACTCTTTAGATGAAAATCCATACCCAGTCTTTGCATACCCACTCTTTCAGCGCATTTCTCCTTGTCGGTTGTACATGCAAATTCCGACACTCCATTGCATACGACTATTGTGTGGTTTTTACATACGATCTCGCTTGCTTTCGTTATAAAAGGCCAGGTTTGCTCCTTGTACATTGTCCTGACGATGGGTGACTGGCCCGAAACGTCAATAGTTTTTCAACATCATTAATAAAAAAATTTTCATCTAAAGAGTGAATAGCAACTGAATAGAGCGGTTGTCAGTTGACAAACCCCCTTTTATTTACAATGCAGTTGCATGATATCCACCACTTTTTTCTCCTCTCTTAATGATCATGAGGTATTCATCGCTGCATATCAACAGCTAACGGGGGTTGTTTCTTTCTGATACCTGCACATTCTGAGATCCTGGAGACTTCTACCCAGGGCTTCCCTAAGAGTCCCGAGGTGCACATTGCTTTTACTTGCGCATGCGGCATTCTCTCCAAGGTCTATACAATTTCCTGGTGTGGTGTGAAATGTGCGCGATCAGACTAAATCACATAACAGCAGTGGATAGATGTGAACAAGCATGAAGTATAAACAAACAGATCCACGTTTTGACAAAGAAACTGTACATAACTCACCTTAAAGTAATAGTATTCCGTTTGCATGCAAAACCGGGCAATCTTCTGGCAAAGCCAATCAGGTAGACCAGGATTAGACATGGCGGACTTTTGAACTCTGAAGAGAAAACATTTCAGAAAAGACAAGAGTCGGTAGTTACTTGCGCAGTAAATGTCATTGGGCACAGATGAAAACAGATGTCCACACAAACCTCTTCAGCTAAGGACAACCGTTCACCTTTAGAGCCTATGTTGCAATTGACACATGCCCCTGGGATACAGTGTTGACGCACCCCACCACGGCTTGTGCTGCCTGACATCAGACCAGTACAACAAGGCAATGCAACTAGTATTACACTACATACCATCAGGCGAAATAGCACGTCATAGTACATTTGAGATCAGCGGGAAGAAGATGACGACGTCCACTAATTTAGTATCTGTGCACACGAATCTGCTGTGTGTGTGTGACTCTGTGTGTCAGCTATGATATCATCTTCTGTGGTTCCATGCCTAGCAATGAGATAACTCTCATGCCAAGGCTGATTCGCCACAGGTAGACACACTTGCAACAATGACTAGATCGATAAATTACAGTACCCAAAGCATCACACCCAGAGAAAACATCACAGGAGCAGCAGTAGCGTCAACACTCGTACAACCATTGTACAAAGCTGTTAGCGAGTGAGATTTCTCAGAGAAAACGATACAGGGTGCTTGCCTCTCCAAACTCAAACACAAAAGGTGTTCAGGATAGAAGTGTGAGGTTAGAAAACAACCCAGAGCACTATGACTCTCACACGAAATAGGCGAGCCAGCAGTGCTCAAAGTAAGAAGATGAGTTTGGCACTACACAGGATAAGCCCGGGGGTTCGCGACAGTTAGCGCCATGTTGGATTTCCGAATTTTATTCTGAAAAATAATGCCTTTCGGAGTGGAAAAATGGGACGCGATCGATCATGCACAGTTTGACCATGCATGCATGAGGCATGACTTCGCAGCGCGTGCTCGAGTCGAGACAAGATTTGAGGAAGAAGCTCAGCCGCTAGTGGACTTGCGGATTTGTTTTGACATCGGCGGTTTTTGGATAGCTTGGTTCTCCTGCCGACGTGTCGTGGAGATGAAGACGCGGGAGAGGAATCTGTCACCCACGACGCTGCCTCGCATTCTGCGTACTGGACGATTCAAGAAGCCGAGGAGGGGGACGCTTCGCAAGCTCAAACGATCGATCGAGTTCCTGAAAAACGGAAAGGGCGATCTCCACCACCAACGCCACTGGATTCGACTCCCGCGAAGAGGTCGTTCAGTGCCCCTCTTCACGGTCGACGAATCGTTCATCTCAGGTATCTGGCTGTGGGATTGTCTGCGTACCAGAATGCTGGATGTGGCAAACAACAACACAACAACAACCTCTGGCGCTCATCAAGTTGATTGCGTTGAAGAGAAGAGGTACGGCCTTTTCAGCGTACTTGTCATCATCAGTCCGTGTCAGCAGTGTGGGATGGAGAATTTTATGCTCAACACCCTGGCCTCCGTGCTTCCACAAGCAACACCAAAGCTGCTTTGGGTAAGTGTGTTTTTCAATCTCATAAGATTTATTCATTATATTTGCGAGTCATTTCCACCCTATGGCTATGGAAATGTATGAGCACACTGTATGCGCGGCGCGCGCGAGCGTGTGTGTGTGTTTGCATAGACCTGCATGTTTGTGCATGTGTGCACCATACGCATGTATGAACATGCACATGCATATGCGCTCATGTGGACGTGCCCTCGCACACATACTATACACACGTGCATGACCGCTCCCAGGGCATGTTGGTGTGACATGTGTATGCGGGCATCTCCACTCATGCACATGCCGTGGGTGGGTACGTACACGTGCGTGAATGTATGTGTGTGTACGCGCGCGCGTGTTCTATTGCGTGTGAGAGCATGCGTGTGTGTGTGTGTGTGTGTGTGTGTGTGTGTGTGTGTGTGTGTGTGTGTGTGTGTGTGTGTGTGTGTGTGTGTGTGTGTGTGTGTGCGTGTGTGTATTGGCGTGGGCCTGCGTTTTGTAGTGCGTTCAATGATGAGTGTTTTCAATTCTGATTTGCCTGTACTTGTCTCCGCCACCACCCATTATTGCGGTTCTATAATTGTTTTGTGTTACGTGTGTGTGTGTGTGTGTGTGTGTGTGTGTGTGTGTGTGTGTGTGTGTGTGTGCACGCATGTGTGTGTTGATGGTGTGCATTTTTGTGCTGGGTGAACACTCTGATCCCTAAACCGCGATACCGGAGCTCCCAAGCTACAGCCTCACATTGATTTATAGTTCATCGTTGGGAATGAGTTCGCTGCTCATGATGCTGTTGCGGATGTTGCGGCCCTAGCTGAAATTGTCGAAGCTCGCCCTGATGCCAGTATCCTGTAGCACTCTGTCACTTTTGCATCAGCATGTTCGGCGAAGGAGTTTGCAGAACATCAGCAAAAGCGGCTGGCCACCCTTCAACCGTTGGTCCAAGCAACGTGCTTCTCTAAATCAGTTGCAGTGCGGGCAGCTGCTAGTGAGGTGGTGATGAAGCACTTTGTCTTGTCCTACAAACGAAGTGGTGAGTCAGCCATTTCCAGACTGATGAAGGAGCAAGTCGGAGGTAAGAAGCGGGTGACAGCCTCAAGGAAGATAATATTAGCGGTGGCTGAACACCTAGCCAAGAACCAGCAGCAACCCAACTGTAAGTAACGCCCTGTGGCACAGGGCTTCACTTGTTTGTGCGCACCGTAAAATACCATCATTTTGGCCAGTGTGGGTTCACGTTCTAGCTCGCATAGTTGAAGAACAAGAGGACTCAATGTTGTCTGATTCGTTCCAACATGTCAGCTTTCATTGTAGTTTGATATGGGGCAGTGCTAAGCGCTATCACAGCTACATGTACATGTACATGTATCAAAACCAAGTACCAACAGGAGAGTAATCATGGAGAAAAGTAGCTATCGATAATGCGTGCACCCAGGGTTTTCCGGCAAATTCACTAGTTCAGCTATTCCATCCTTGTATTGTTCTGAACGCCGAGGGCTCTAGCGAGTTTATGCAACACCTAACAGCCAAGAATCCAATAAGCTATGACCAAAGCAGCAACAGAGAAGTACAAGCAATATAGATACGTGAATTTACCAATTTTAGGCAAATTTTGACAGTTTTTTGGATTTTTCTCCAGAATATGCACGGTGACCCCTATTTTCGCCGCGGTAAACCTGTTCCAACCCACTCATAGAACGTATTTGAAGTATCCACATGTGGGGCAAACTCAAAAATAAGCTGCAAAAAATATTCAAAGTTTCATTTTTTGCGTCTTTTTGTTCTTCTCCAGGAAATGACGACCTGGATCCCATCGTCAACCAAAGTGTACATTTTTCGGTGTTGATATCATCTTAGTCAATACCTCGAACAGTCTGTGTAATTTTATGTCATATTTTCTGTCCTATCTGGTGTTATGGACGATTTCTCATCAATTTTCGGATTTTGCGATATTGTGTGTTATCAAGGAAAATTGTGTTTTTGGCAAGACCTATTCAGGCAATTGAAAAACTGATGTCACTAAGCGAAAATATAAGGCTGTACCTATTCAAACCTGATGTCAGATTGGGCTGATGTTGAAATTAATTTTTTGGGCCTAACTGTCCCCAACCCCCTTAAATGTGCTTCGTTTGCAAAATAAACAGAGAAACATCTGCATATGCTCATTACTCAGAAAGAAGGCAAAGTTTAGTTCATAGTAGAAGTAGAAAGAGATGCACAGACAAGCAGAAACATAGTTAACAATGGAAAACTTACATTTGCTTGATATACTCGATGTTGGCCGTGGGGTGAGCACCTGGCTGTTGCATATTGCCAGCATATACATGACTTCTAGGCAACGCAGCAGTGGGAGCCAGGCCAGGACTACCACCACGTGTATCACAACCTGGAGGAGCCAAACCAATAAAACCGAGATTAGAAGCACCAGGCAGCGGCGTTGCACCAGCAAATCCGGCACCAACACCATTCCCAGGCGGAGGCAACATTCCCGTGCCTTGGTTTACTTGGATCATGGGGGCAGCAGCTGTTGCTGGGTTTAGTCCATTTACCATGCCCGGTGTTGGGTTCACGCCATTCAGAACATTTGTACAAAACAATATAGCTCTGTAGCTCAGTCACAAGAGTCATTTGGTGATTAGACCAGAGAACAGGTACAGTGAGGGATACAGTACCCGCCAGTGGCAATGAGAGCGCAATGGGATTTGTTCCAAAGTCAAGCAGAAGGTGTGTGTCATCAAACAACGCAAAGTGACGTAGTGCGTCAGGCATAGCCAGGATTCAGCATATTAATTTTGTTCCTGTGCACGTGTGTGCCAGCTATGGTAGCATATACATGCACATAGTACAGTGTATGGCAAAAGATTCCGGTATATTGTTTTCTTGTACAATTCCTACAACGTCTAGCTCCTCAATGCACACCTAAATGCCAGTTGAATTGTGGAAACCCCACAACATCACTATTTGAATGGTCATCCAAGAATGGAGAGAATGCAGTTTAGTCATCCACAATCAGACGAGATCCATCTACCCTTTAAAAAGTATCATTAACACAAGAGCAACTAACCAGGTTGATCGGGTGCCCGTCCTGAACTATACATAGCACCTCCCAGCTCAGTAGAGTAAATCTGGCTATTTATGATCTGACGCGATGATGAGCAGTGTGCAACTGAAAGGAGCAAAGAAGAGGACAGGATACACCATTCTTACATAAACCACAGTGAAAATTGATAATGTATCACCATGGGTCGGAAAATCAGTATATTGTTTATAAACAGTTTCCTCTGAGACAAAATGCGATAATACTCATAAAAAGGACACACTTCAGGCTAATTACAAACATTTTGAAAGTTTTTGTCTTCACAAGTATACTTTCAGGCCTGTATTTCACCTGACGAGAAGGCTTGAAAGTATACTTGTGAAGACAAAAACTTTCAAGATGTTTGTAATGAGCCTGAAGTGTGTCCTTTTTATGAGTATGTATTCATTATTTTCACAGGTTTGAGGGAAAGACCCAAACGGGAAAAGTCTGAAGAAGAAATCGATTGTCACCACCAGGACTCAAACCAGGGACCCTCGTTTGTAGCCAGCGGTGCTCTAACCACTTAGCTATGGTGTAGTCGTCATCCCAGCAGAGCCCGTTCAACATTTTCTTCAGACTTTGTAACTCACACTTTCTGAGAATCCACACAGGCGGGTGGGACTCCGCCTTCACTGTACCCACACACTTCACGTACAAACTAGCACACGGGAAGCCCCAAGTCATATAACTTTTATCATTTATTATTTTTCTTCAGAATTTTCCCGTTTGTGTCTTTCCCTCAAACCAGTGAATATTTGTTATTTATTATTATTAAATTTCATTATACAAAAGAGAAAGACCAAGGAACTGCAAGTTACGCTTTACTGTCCCCTAACACCACCAGTTACTAAACAATCAGCTCATGCGATAACATTGCATGTTATTTATGTTATTTCTTTTACTTAGAAACTTCCAAGTTGGAAGGCTGTTGGAGTGCGCATCCAAGATGTGCTAGAGCTATTAGCCAGTTAGTTGTAGAACGTCAGTACCGTCGGTCAGTGTCGTGCAATGTTTATATCACATGAGCTGATTGTTTAGTAACTGGTGGTGTTAGTGGACAGTATAGCGTAACTTGTAGTTCCTTGGTCTTTCTCTTTTGTATAAATTAAACCTTGGCTCTCCATCTGAGTCCAAATTTTATTATGTATTTGTATGTTCCCGTTAGAGTCGATCAATGATCCACACTTTCGCTTATGCTGAGGAAGGGACACAGCATCAAATGGTGCCAAACAGAGGTGTCGAACAAAATAAAAACAAAGAGAAGCGTATGTGCTTAGGTGGTGAAGGTATAATGTACTCTGCCTACTATGTTAGCTAAAGCACATGAACAGGAATTCGCATTCCGGTGGCTGAGATGAGAAAATTAATGTTTCATTCATTAGTGATAAAATGATGTTGCAGTAATATTAAAGATGATATTGTTTCAGTCATAGGTCATCAACTGAATGTTTCAGTCATTGCCAATAAAATGATGGTATTGGAGTGTTAAGATGATATTGGAGGGATACGACGATATTAAAATTGACGTTGAATCTTTTCGTTGACAAATGGTATTTCTTTCTTAGTGTTACCTGTAGATATTACACTTGGCAAATCCTCTTGCAGATCTGTTGCCATTGAGGCCGATCCTTGGCAATTTCACGTAGATGATCCAAGTCTGACGCATTCGAGAGGCTACCTTGTCCAGCCCGAGTGATGTCGGCATGAAGAACAGTTGGCAGTGTATTGCGAGGACGACCACGCCATCCACCATTGGCTGCAGCCGTGAAATAGAGGTTCTTGGTCATTGCTGCTGGAATGGTGGCGGCTTGTCGCAAAATGTGACCAAACAGGCGCCATATTGACTCTTTGACCAAAGCATTGAATTTTGGTGTCCTGCATCTCTCATACAGGACATTGTTGGAGATTCTCTGTGCCCATTGGATGCCAAGCAGAGATCTCAACTGCTGACGATGGAAGGCATCAAGGCGGGCAGATACTGTTGATGCCAGGCCCCATGTTCCCGAGTTATACACGAGAACTGGCAGGACAAATGCTGAGTACAGCCGGAGTAGACGCTCACTGACATGGGTGCGACGCTTGAATCAACTCAACATAGAGCGAAGCGCTGCAGTTGCTAACTGCTTGCGTCGCACAATATAGAATTTTATCAATTATCAATTATCAACTGTCATCAACTGTCAAGTGAGGGTGTGCAGAGTTTGTAAAAATACATGATCCAAGTCTGACGCATTCGAGAGGCTAGCTTGTCCAGCCCGAGTGATGTCGGCATGAAGAACAGTTGGCAGTGTATTGCGAGGACGACCACGCCATCCACCATTGGCTGCAGCCGTGAAATAGAGGTTCTTAGTCATTGCTGCTGGAATGGTGGCGGTTTGTCGCAAAATGTGACCAAACAGGCGCCATCTTGACTCTTTGACCAAAGCATATTCCCGAGTTATACACGAGAACTGGCAGGACAAATGCTGAGTACAGCCGGAGTCGTAGACGCTCACTGACATGGGTGCGACGCTTGAATCAACTCGACATGGAGCGAAATGCTGCAGTTGCTAACTGCTTGCGTCGCAAGATATAGAATTTTTATCAATTATCAATTATCATCTGTCATCAACTGTGAAATGAGGGTTTGCAGAGTTTGTAAAAATACTAGACTGTACTATACAATCACGGGTGTCACAAGGCATTGGGGAGTGGTACGTCCGGGGGAGGGGGGACCGGGGTGTCCCACGTGGATGTTTTGGCCAGCAGGGCACGTTTTAGCACCCATCGGGCGCTCTGGGTGGACCATCCTCTGGACGAAAAGTGGTACGACCATGGTCATACTGGTTGTACCGTGTGTGACGCCCCTGCCAATATATAGAGAAAAAAATGGTCCACCCAGGGAGCCAGGAACAGCTATTATGTGCAAGGGCAGCCAGTGGTTCACAATGGCAAGATGGTGTCGGAGTGGGCGTCGCCCCAATTTTTTGCATGTTGCACTTTTTTCTAGGGAACAAACGATTACTCTAACTAACGAACAAGCTATCGAATACTCTTTAACTGTATCTATTGCCTTATGTACGCCGTTTGTCAATGGATGGTATGGAAAATTCAAAATGACCCATTTTTGCAAATCGACCTTTTTCTGGGTTAAGAAACAATTACTCTAACCAACCAACGAGTATTTGTACTAACCAACAAGCTATCAGTCATACCACCACGACTCGAACCAGGGACCTTGCTATTCGCTCTAACCAACTGAGCTACAGTATTACTCTTATCCACAATAATGGCAAATCTCTCCTTTTTTGATCAACTTGATAAATATCTGGCTTGCATCTTACTGACAACTCACATCATTTTTTTGCATTTATTGCTCGCAAATAGCAAGGTCCCTGGTTCGAGTCGCGATGGTGTGACTGATGATTTTTCTTTCTTTCGTATCTGGCTTGCAAGTGTTGACTTTCGGAGAGAAAAGAGCAGTACGAGGCATGTGACCTCTAATTTCCTAATACTGTAAAAATCTCCGTGAAGTCCAACTTAAAATTTTGAGATTGCAATTTGTGTTTGCTCACAGTGGACATAGTTTGATGTGCTGCCCATGATATCAAGCGAATGGCCGAGGGCCTTCAAGAGTGGTGTGAGTTACCAGTATGATGCAAGCCAGATATTGATTGATCGCAGAAGGATAGAGAATTTGCCATTACTGCGGATAGGAGTCATACTGTAGCTCAGTTGGTTAGAGCATTGCTCGCGAATAGCAAGGTCCCTGGTTCGAATCGAGGTGGTGTGACTGATGATTTTTCTTTCTTTCGTATCTGGCTTGCAAGTGTTGAGTTTGGGAGAGAAAAGAGCAGTACGAGGCATGTGGCCTCTAATTTCCTAACGTTCGGGACTGGTTTAAATCTGGCTTTGCAAATTGTATTGTTCATTACTGTCAGGGTTGATCTCATTTT